GTTTTACGTTAGCTATGATGGAGTAATATTACACTTACTGGGCTGCTTGACTATGAAGCAACAATCCAGTAATGCCCACTAAGTAAAACTCCACCACACCATTTAACCACGAGTGAAGCCCCATGTCTAACTCTACCTGACAGTACCATCCATGAGCAAAACCCCAAAACACCACTACCGGTAGTGAAAAACTGCCTCCCCTACAGTACGTAGCATTCACCGTTGGTTCGATTAACGCTGTACAACGTTGTATGCCTTCGTGTTTCACGTTAACGATAGGATTGTACTTATCGTAGCAAGCTATTAGTCCCACCCACTTACTCAGGGACGTTTTAGGTCAATAGTACCAAATTCCCTGAGTGAGTGGGTTTTGACCAATTGAGTGGGTGTGTCACCCACTCACTCGGGGAATTGGTCGTCCCGCCGTAACAGCTCTTGCTGCCATCAATCACTACAGGAGTCCCAGCTGTTGCTGCGGGGCGCTGGTTTGGGATGCACAGTGAACATTGATTGTACATACAGTTCACAGCCTACTGTATCACTAGCTTGATTGGCTAATCGCCATCATTGCATTGCGTCATAGACAGGCCGATCAATCTGACCATCGGACTTCCTGTCAAATTTGTCCTTGTTAAGTACGCCTAGTACTAAGTACTTACTCACATATTGTCGAAGTTTTCACTTGTTGTCGAAGTTTTGCTCAGATAAGCTTACTCACATGTTGGCGATTAGTAGTACATGTACCCTGCTGAGCTCAGCAAATCACCAATCATTCTGCAAATTACACACCCGTCACGTTACGTATGCGGTCTAAGAGCATCTCCAACGCGGGTCCCTATCCCAACTCTATATCTCAAAACTTCGGTTGTACCGTTACTTAATGTTACAGTACGGATAATTTGGGGCTTATCCGGGCGATTTTGTCCCCAAAATGTTCAGTTATTGGGACATCCGAGCGAAATAGGGACAAAAACACCCGGATACATCCCCAAATTATCCGTAACTTCGATGATACCACTGTTGTAACAGATTTTGGGGATGGGGACATCGATATAGGGACTCCCGTTGGAGATGCTCTAAGCACGAGGTGCTGTATGAAGCGTTGAGCGAAGTAAAAACCGAATATTGCACACAGCCCCTGGTGGAGCAGGAGCTTTACAATTGGCGAAGTTGTTCCACAACATGTGGTTCTAGAAGGAATGCCTAAAAAATGTAAATAAACGATACTATTAATAGTAATACAAACTCAATTATATTATAATCTTTGGCGTCCTAAATAACGTTAGTCAGAAAAATTTGCTACTATTTCGTACTTTCAAAGAATGAAGGAACCACATTAACAGTAAAGTGACACTTGCAATACGATGGATTGATATACGCTGTACTGCGCGACATACCATCGTACTACAGTATCCGCATTAGCTTACACTGTACCTCCTTCGTGGTTGTTGGACACGGTCACCCAGTCGGTCCCACAACTGTTTTTTGCTCAGAAAACATGTTCACTCAGTCATTCCCACCAAAGATATGGGTACAGTATAGTACGAATCCCCGTGCATCCTTCGCCTCTCCTTCTCCCCCTGTTCGGTTCTTCCAACGCTCAGTGGGTTCGTGTGGATTCTGCACTTGCCGCCGAAAAAGTCGTACAAACGTGATTACATCTTTGACTGCCTAGAAAACCTCGGCCACCAACAACCACGAAGGAGGCAAGCGTATGCGGATAGTACACTGTACGATCGTATGTCGTGCAGTGTATCAATCATACAGTTCGGTCCTCGCGGAGGAATGTCTTAAAAATGATAATCCAAACTCAATTAACCGCAAGTGTTACTTTAATATGGATATCCTTCATCCTTTGAAAGTGCGACAGAATAGTTAGCGGGCTTTTCTGGCAAGAATGTCGGCCACGCTGTTGGATATTTATGACGCAAACGATGACTCGTCCATCCTAGCGGATTAACGACAAGAGCTGGATGTATGTATGTTGTACGCATCCCAACCATCCATTTGTTTAACCTTGGTACTTGGTAGTGCAATCACAGTCTGACGTTAACGATTGGATTGACTTGGCTCTGGGTGAAAGACCATTCATTTTCCAATTTCCATCATGAAGTTTGCACTCCTTTACGCTTTCGCCGCGGCCGTCGCTACCTTGGCTCAAGACCAAATTGTCCCACCCAATGTCGCTTGGGGAGATGAGGACCCTATCGACGGTTTCGAAATCCTCGGAGGCGAGGAAGCCCAACAAGGCAGGCACCGTTATGTGGCTGGGCTCAAGAAGTCGCGCGATGGTGAGACCTTGTGCGGCGGCAGTCTGATCGCCCCCAATATCGTTTTGACAGCAGCGCATTGTTTGAAAGGTAAACTACGTGCTGTGGTCGTGGGCACGCACTATTTAACCGGTGTTGACGACGGGGAACTGGCCAGTGTCACCCAGGAAATCAAACACCCCAATGGCACCGACGTGGGCATCGTAATCTTGAACCGCAACATCACGACCATCCAACCTGTGACGGTGTCGTTTGAATTCGTTCCGGCGGACGTGCTCACTTGGGTACGCGGCTGGGGATACGTCGGGCGTCGTGGCCCCCGATCTCCAGTGCTCAAGGAGCTCAACGTCACGACCTGGAACAACACCGGGGCCTCGGCTGCTTTGTTCCCCATTCGACTAACCGATACGATGTTGGGTGCTGGAGGGGTGCATGGAGAAGACTCGTGTCGCGGCGACTCTGGGGGACCGTTGACCATCGAAGAAAACGGTACCGTGCGCTTAGTAGGGGTGGTCAGCTTTGGTCGTGGTTGTGGTGTGCACGGCAACCCAGGTATCAATGAACGCGTCAGCGCTGCTCGTGCCTTCATTGAACCGTACTTGCCGAAGTAAGTCAAACTTGCGCTTGTCATTATGAAAGCAGCATGGCCAACGTCCAACCCACTTGGTTGAACACACAACCGACTTGGTTATGGAAGGCCAACCGCTCGTGTAGTGTTTGTGGTAAAAATCGTTACTGTAATTTGATGACCATTATGGTGCAGCACCTGAGTAGCGTCGCGGATTCGCGATATTGAAGCACGCAAAGCCATTCCATTCTGTCAGTGGAAGATATCTATTTTTGTATGCTCGTTGCAATATCTTGCATCATTGACAAATTATATGAACAAGGAGAACGTGTGCTAGTGGCACTGAACGATCTCTTCACGAAACCTAATATGGGATTTATATTGTTGTGTTTTGTTTGTTCATTCTAAACTGGAGCGACATGTGGAATTAGTATCGACACATCCAAATGATGAATCGGCAGAAGGATTTAGCCAATCAGATTCTAGGAAACCACCATCAATGTCAAATTAGTGTATGATTTCAACTATCGTGACGGATCTGTAGCAAATCACTGATCTTTCGGCAAATCACAGATCTGTCACGTTAGTGTAATAACCACACAACACCTTTTTACATATAAAATTCAGTACTAAGAATCGATCGATAGAGGTATGGCAATTCAGCACAAAATTCCAAATTATGGGTAAATGGACAATACGAATGGGTGGTTAGGACGCGGCTATTGTAATTTCATTAGGTTAATCGCGTCCTATATGCCGGCGGCTTTGGTTCACATTGTAGACGTTCCTGTCCGGATAACAACAGGGGCGAAAACAATGGTTCTGAATGCCTCAAAGCAGGCGTGAAGTACATCAACATCGCGGTTACAGTAATGAGCGGCATATTTCTGAATGTCGAGTAGCCCATTGTCAATGGCACCAATTTTAGTAGCATTTTCAATCATAGCTCCTTGTCTACAAATGAGTTCAAATAGTCAAGCTTCCACATAGATGGATAATTGTCTTCATTGATCAATGTATGAGGGAAAGAATCTTTCTCGAGTTGAAGTTCTTCACTTGCTTTCGGGAACATACTTGGCAGCTTGGCGAGTTTTCAGTTGATGAAGCTCATTGAGCACTTGATGACAAGTTCAGAGCTCTTGTAAAACCAATGAGCTTGCTTGAGTCTTGTTCCTTATTCGCTGATGTTAGATTTCGAACTAAAGCTTGCTACATGCTTCATCAGAAATCGAAGATCAAAACCAGCATTGTGAGCCCAGAGCAAGTTATGACTGTTTTCTGGTAGAGTTTCTAGCAATCGTTGAGCAAAATCAGGTCCATCGAAATGTTTAGTAGTTTCACTGGTTGAATGTAGCTTACAGAATTTGCACGTCAGAGTCTTGAATGAGATACAGTATGCTACATGTTCGCCTGCTTTTGTGACGAGTGTTTCAAAATCAAAGTAAGTGACGTTAAAGTTGATGATTTCCTCGACTTGTTTCGTGTACTTGATTGAAAGGACTTCGATCGTATATCATTTTTTGAGTATCAATCTTTGGGTCAATCGTTCGTCCAATTTCTCGGAAAGCTCCAGAGTCGTCTTTATCCTCGAAATCTTCTTCACACAACAAATTAACCTTTTGATAGTCGTTGTTCAACAATTTAGAGGCCATGTTTTGGTCGTCCATCCGGGGCAGTACAGCGGGCTGTCAAGTTGTGCATTCTGCTAACCCTGTGTCTCCTCTCTTTCACTCACGTCTGCTCTAGTCTATCCGTCTCAGTCTCCTACCCATCATGGGTGCATAAAACACTCATAAAACAGACGGTGACTCTCAACATCGGGCCTATCACAACCCACCACGTTGTACATCTATCCAATCACATCTCATCACGTCCCCGAATATAGACCAGTAGTTAAACGGGCTTTGAACTCCCACCTCTAATCTCACTTCTGGTTTTACCGCCTCTTACACAAGTGATCTGTTCCGTTGCTTGACAATCCCGGAACACCTGCGCCAGTGCTTCTTTCTTCTCTGCCATCCGTCTACTCGTTCAGTCTCTTCACTGATTATGAACCTTCCACCTCGATCGTACCCTACTCCGGAGCCATCCTTGACTTCAGCCCTCAATCGTTCGCTGCCTGGAAGCCCTAATTCGAGAACCATGCTAGCAGCATTGGGATCATGCGATACTACTTGGATTCAAGGTTTCCTCCTACTCTCAAGAGCGATGCCTACGCGAAAGGCAAGGAAGCTCTTGACTACGATCGGATGATGAACCCTGACACCTACTCGCTCGACAACTACGAAAACGCCGGACTTGCCGGGAGAAAAGCATTGGTGGCCAAGGCCGAAAGTGACACGTTACGCACAGCGACGACTGAAACCCTGGAGGAGATGCTCTCGATGGCTCGGGCAAACGCCGTACAGTATCTGCTATCGTCTTTTGCTCCGTCTGTCCGCACTGCGTGGGACTCTTACTCCTCTCCGTCTCTTCTTTGGGTTGCCATTCTCGAACGTCACGAAGTTGACAACAACATGCACGACCCGACGACCTTAATAGCGAAGATCAACGAGTTGAAGTACTCCTCCAGTCTTGACGCTCATGTTCTTTTTGCCACACTGACCAGCTTGGTAAAGCAATGTCAACGTGGCATGATCCCCCCCGACCTCGCATCGATGACGTCTCAGCATGTCCATGACTTCTATTGGGAGCAATTCCACTCGATCTACTTTTGCAATGCCTTCGTCGAAGAATCCACCATCTGGAAGTCTCTGTGCAAGATGCAAATGCAGGCCAAGAACGCTGGCAAGCTCTACTCACTCGCAGATCTCCAGCGCACAATTATGGAAATCATTCAGGTGGACCTCAAGTATCATCAAATGCTTGATCAACATGGCTCAGCCGATTCGACTACCCGTCTCCAACATCTTGCTGCTCCTGCCTACCCGTCTTCTGCCCCGTCTATTCCGACGGCTTTCGTCGCACACTCTCTCACGTTACCGTCTTGGCCCATGCCATTTGTCATCTTAATCCTGGAAAATCTTGCTTCTACTGCGGCCAACCTGGCCATGCTATGGACAGCTGCGATGTGATCGTCTACGACTAAAATCGTAACACACCTCGTCCCCATGTTCCTACCAACATCTTCAAAAAACATGGTGGCCGCAAGTCGACTTCTTCACGTGCCATTCAAGACGACCATGCGCAACATCACCGAACTTCCCGTCGTCGTGATGACGACGATAACAACGACCGCTCACCCAAACGCACTCGTTATCCTCGGCGAGACCGCTGTCAGCCGGCCCGCACATCAACGACCGATCAATCTCGGCGCAACCAAGACACCAACAATCGAAGTACTCGCGATAACAGCCGGCGCCGCTCCTCTGCGGATGGTCATGCATCACGTGTCACCGTCTCGGTCTCCACCCAGGTTCCGTCTCCACCTTCTCCTGCTCCGTCTCATAAATGATAATGCCATGCGCCTCAAGTTGCCTCCCTCGATGTCACGTGTTCATGACGTGTTCAACGTCGATCGACTTAAACACTATCACCCCAACGAAGCCAAGTTTGCCTCCAGACCTATCCCGAAAGCTACTCCCGTTATTCTAGACGAACCACCGGCGAAGAAATGTACATTGTCGAGAAACTGCTCAAGAAGTGCCAGTTTAAACGCAAGTTGGAGTACTTGGTCAAGTGGCATGGACATCCCGAAAGCGAAGCCACGTGGGAACTGATGAAGGACATCAAGCATGTTGTGCACTTCAAGCAACTCGTCCAAGACTTGGAGTCAAGGCGTTTCAAGGTGTACAAAGACGTCAGGGGGGAGAATGTAGCGATGTGGCAGGTGGGGGTAACGGCTTGCCACCACCTTGCCCACACCCAGCTCCTAAGACTCACCCTAGCTAATGCTTGCCTGGGAATGTGTCTCAAGGGTAAGTATGGCTTAGAATCGCTAGCCTAGTGAAGTTCCCCAATGTCTCAACCGCACCCGCATTCATTGTATACAAAAGTGCATATTAGTGTAGAA